TTTCCACTTCTGACTTCTGATGATAAGGCATCCTGTAGGGTCTAATGTTCACTGCTTTTGTACCCTCTTTTAGTGTGATAGAATGTTCATGTTCTCTTGGAGGTGGAATTCCTTTTGGTTATTTAAAAACAACTGAGTACTCATCCAATAAACTCTGTAGCTCAATAGGTACCATATTAGTACTAACTTCCCCACTCAACATAAAAATTTCTCATGTTATGTCACTATTTTTTCCATCAATTTCTGCAACTTACTGTCTGATATCAATCTGACAGTAGTTGAACTTTGTCCTCCTTTTAAGGTAATCTCTTCCCCATCTTTTTAAAAACTCAAGGTCATATGTTTAAAATCATCAGTAGTGGACTATATTTTTTCATCCAATCCACTCCTAGAACTATGTCACTTCCTTCTAGAGCTAAAACTCTAAAATCATGTTCAAGCTGAGAGCCCTGCATTCTCCACTTTAACATTTTACTCATGGCTGAACTGTACAATTTTTCACCATTAGGAACTGTAATAGTTAGAGGGCGAGTTTGCTCCAATTTCACTCCTTATTTGGACCATTGACCAGTTATAAAATTATGTGTGCTTCCACTGTCTATTAGAATGTTTAGAGGTTCCCCTGATATGTGCCATTGGGTCCTCAATGTGTTTTGGCATGTCTGGCTTGTTATAGCATTTATAGAAATTTCCAATTCTCCTTCCACATGATCCGTTGCCATTATCTCATTGTTTCCTGTTTCCATATTTTCAAACTCTCGTGTATCCTCTATCTCCTCCATAAAGTTCAGCTGTTTGACCTTACATTGATGTCCTGGACTAAATTTTTCTCCACATTTGTAACATAGTCATGTGTCATTCTATATTCCACCAATGATTGTTTACTCTGGTTCATATTCTGGGCAATTTCTTTTTGTGGTTGATTCAGGGTGGTGTTAGGAGGCTTGTAATTGAAGCTCTGTCCTGTAGATGCTACTCTAGGTTGGAACCTCAGTTTTATGTTTTCCACTTCCCAAGTCAATTCAACCAATTTCACCAATATAAAAGCATCAACTAAAGTTGTGGGATTATGAACTTTAACCCTGTGCTTAAATTCCTCTTTCAATCCACTAAGAAAACTAGAAACAAAATACCCTTCCTCCAAAAATGGACTATACTACAACATGTAAGACCTCAGCTTTTCAAACTTCTCATGATAATCTTCTACATATTGCTTTTGAGTCATCTTATTAAACTCTTCCACAATGTCATTACAATTATGGTCACAAAATCTATGGCATATATCTGCTGTAAATTCATGCCAGTTCACCTTATGTTTTTGAGCCACATAACCATCAAACCAGGTCTCAACCTTCCCTGTTAAATACATTATAGCTAATTTCACTTTCTGGTATTCAGGTACTTTAAAGATGGAAAAGTACTTCTGACATTTCTTCACCCAACTTCTTGGATTTGTTCCATCAAACATTTGAATTTCTATTTTGGGTCTAAAAGCATAGCTTGACTGAACATCTCCCTCAATAGATGATTCTCCCATTTCCATTGTATTTCCTCCCATTTTCAATTTTTGCACATCCATAGTAGTATGAGGCTGATTTTCACAAAGTTGAGGAATAATAACAGGTTTAGATGATAATATTCCAGGTTCATCAGTCTTAAAAGTATACTTCTAATACTCATTAAGAAATGTTACTAAGCATGGATGCTTACCTTCATTTTTGATTTGATTTGCAGCTGATGTTGGTTGACTCTTTTCTGATAAATGTGACTCTTTTCTGACAAAGGTGAATCTTTTTCCTCAGCTGCCTGGCTTACCATATGTAGGATTCTCTGCAAATATCCTATGTTTTCAGTCATTCCCTCTTCCAGTGTTTGTATCCTTGCTTCCAGCTCTGTTTTTTTCCCAGCCCACCAAGATGACAAGGTCTCCTCATTCTTAACTTCCATTGATTATTCTGGTAACTCTATGGTTCCAGTCTTTTTCATCTTTTTTTGTCTTCCCTAGCGTGATATAATTTCTTTGGGATCACTAAACTTAGCTTTATTTACCAATTATCAGGTTTGCACCTGAATTTTGTGAGAAAGGATTTCAGAAGAAGAAGAAAACGTAGGTTTACAGAAAAAGTATTCTCGATTTTCATTCATAACCTTAATTTTTGATTACAAATCCGTGTATTTATATATATATATATATATATATATATATGAGGTTGTACAATTATTTATTGACAGCTATAATATTATCTCATTCTCAACCTATTCTCAACCGTTGTCCTTGCTTCTCTGCTGCCGTGGATCCTTCTTATCTGTTGGCCCTTCCTCGGCCCAACTGCTTGCTACGTGGTAATTCATTATACTTAGGGATGGCAAGCGGGTACAATTTCGTGGATTCCGCACCGCACCCGCTCCAATTGGGGCGGGGATGGGTATAATTTTAGTGGGTAGTGGGCGGATGTGGATTTAGAAAGTGATACCCGTCGCGGGTAGTGGGCGGGTAATGGGTTTGAGACCTTACCCGCCCCGCATCCGCACCGCATCCACCCCGCCCCGCATCCGCCCGCCCCACATCCGCCTGCCCAACTAAATATCTATTAAATTTTGGACCATTATGAATTTAGGTGTAATTTTAAGAGCTAATTTATAAATCCTAATATTGTATAAGATATAACTTGTAATTTAACCAAATATTAGGGATAAGTTTATGCATAATTTTTTTTTTCTTTCAAACCTCTTGTCTTCACTCTCAAGCTTATTCAGGTATGTTTCTTCCCTTTTTACTTGAAATTTAATTTTTGTAAGAGTCAATTCCGTAGTAATTTCGTTTTAAGCTCCTCTGCATTTCGTTTTAAGAGTTTAATTTTTATTTGCTCGTACTGATTTTTAATTATTTTTTAGATTCATCTTAATGTTTGTTTTAAGCTTAATTTCTTAATGTTCTACAAATCAGTATCTTGTGACTGAGCACCCACATTTTTTGCTAACAGAGTCAGATCGTTGCTTCTCAAATCTCTATTTTTAACGCCACTGAATAGAATTATGTGTTTCACTTGTGCTTCTCAAACCTCCATTTTTAACGCCATTGAAACAGACTTTTTCAAATTCAAATTTCAACCGAATATTTTGCAATATTGGTGTTTTATTATGGTGTTTTATGAGAATGATGATTGTAATACTGAAGTATCAGATGTCACAAGTATTGCTTGAAATTTTAGAATGTTGTGCCAAAGAACAAAAACATTATGTGTTTGTCATTTATGTTTCTAGACTTTAATTATGTCTTTTATTATGATGTTTTATGTACTTTAAGATCTATATTAACACTTAACTCAGATAATCATTGGTTTATTTTATTATGTTTCTTAATAGATGTGTTTGTTTTATGTTTGTTTCTTATGTATAACTTAAGTTTGTTATCAGGCGGGTCTAGCCGAGTACGTCTCCAGTGGGTAGTGGGTGTAGGGATGGATTTGAGAATGTACCCGCGTGGGCGGGTGTGGATTTGAAAATTTTTACCCATCATGGGTGGTGGGCAGGTGGTGGAATGAAAAATATTAAGTGGGTATGGAGATGGAGGAGGGGTATCCGCACCCGACCCACCCGTTTGCCATCCCTAATTATACTTTTTATTTTTTACTGCATCAAGTAAGTTCCTCATTTCCCCCTCTTTCATAATTCAAAATCCCTAATTCCTTTTCTAATTTCTCAATTCTCTGATCCTCAATCCCTAATTTTTCATCCAGGACCATGAGGTTATTTTTCTGTATTTCCAAATCATAAATTGACGAACTCAAAATGTTACATTATCCTTGTTAAGAAGGATCAAATTTCGATTCCCAAACCCTGTTTCATTGTTTTCCATTTTCTCGAGATCGAACCTCATATCAAGAATGCCGGCGAAATGTTAAGGAGCTAGGCTTCGACGTTGTTAAGAAGGATCAAATTTCGATTCCCAAACCTTGTTTCATTGCGATATTGCCAAATTTGGAGGAACAAGGTTTGGTTCTTCTTTGCTTGAAAAAATAGGGTTTGAATGATCGGAGTTTGTAGGGTTATAAAGGTGCGAACTTTAAGGCTTGGGTGAATCTAGATATTGTCTTTTGTTTTGATGTTTCTTTTGCATGCTTAAAGAATTTAGTGGATTTTGAGTTTGATGAAGTTTATTTTGTAGTTTGGCTTGTAAAGTATTGTAAGATGAAGAGGGTAAAAAGTGAAATTCCCACTGGGAGGAGGTTCAAGTTGTCTCGTTTGTTGTTGGGTTTAGGAGGGTTATGCTTAATCTTCATAGCTTTTAAGTTTCCTTATTTTTTAGAGATAGCAGCTGTTTTGAGTGGAGATGATAGCTATGATGGATTGGATGGGAAGGTGGTTGGGGATGTTAATGATGCAGATTTGGGTAAACCCTTGGTTAATGCTGTTTATAAAGATATGTCTCACCGGAAATTAGAGGATAAGCTAATCCAGGATGCGCCTATGAGGCCTACCGAGGAACCTTTGGAGGAAGGAAGAGGTGGAGTAAAGCCCATTAAGCCACTTCAGCATCCATATGGTCGAATAACGGCTGAGATTTTGTGTCAACTGAATAAAACTAGTGAATTGTGAGTGCTTGAGAAATTGGCGGAAGAGACTTGGACTTTGGGATTGAAAACTTGGGAAGAATTGGATGTGGTTGATGAAAAGGCAATTGAACAGAATTCTTTGCTTGATGGGAAGCCTGAGTCATGTCCTGCATGGTTATCTGTAATCGGAGAAGATTTGGCTAGTGGAGAGAGGCTAATGTTCCTTCCATGTGGTCTCAAAGCAGGTTCTTCAATTACAGTTGTTGGTACTCCTCGACATGCTCATCAGGAGTATGTACCCCAACTTGTAAAATTGAGGAATGGTAATGGTTTCACAGTTTATGATTGAATTGCAAGGGTAGCAGTCCGTGGATGGGGAATCTCCACCTAAGATTTTACATTTGAATCCTCGATTGAAAGGAGATTGGAGTCACAAGCCAGTCATTGAGCACAACACTTGCTATAGAATGCAATGGGGTAAAGCTCAAGATGTGATGATTTGCCATCCAAGGATGATGAAGACATGCTCAGTAAATTTTTATCAAGCATCACTACCTTTCAGTTTTGTCTCCTTTTCTTATTTATTTTTCCTTTTAAAAATGAAATTAATCGTGCATTTATTTTGAGGGATAAAAAAATTTAGGTAATAACTGTTTGAACATAAGCCATGCTATGCCGATTTTGTGTTTGAGGATAAATAAATGTGACTACATGGTCAAGAAACAAGAACTTCACAGAAATTTATGAATCATGTTTTTCTACATAATAGATTAAATTTCATGAACATATCAATGATGATAGCCTGCAATTATCTAGAAAAATTTATGATCTTTTCTTAAATGCTTTAGCAGTATTTCTTAGAAAGTGCTTACTAGGAGTATTAGAGGAAGGCGTGTAAGTTGGAAGTTGTTTCCAGTTGAAAAACTTTGTAGTGCTTGTGTTTGAATGTGGTTACATGCTAGCAGAATAGGAGGGAAGGGCATTTTCATGTTTGGTATTTTTTGCACGTGGAAGACTGAGCCTTCTTGTTGTACTTTGTGACTTTGTTCGGTTTATGTCTTCTATTTTTGCATGTGTTTGAGTTTTGAAAAATTTGAAGGACATTTATCAAGTACCTATACTTTTGGCAGTTGATGGACAGCGAAGATGTGAAAAATGGATTCGGAATGATGTTGCAGACTCGAAAGAGTCCAAGACAATGCTTGGTTCAGACGGTTCATTGGACGGGAACAGAAACCTGAAGTTACCTGGCCATTTCCTTTCATGGAGGGCAGACTGTTTATCCTGATTCTTCGTGCTGGCATTGATGGATATCATATCAATGTCGGGGGTCGACATGTGACTTCATTTGCATATCGCACTGTATGTTGCTTAACTTTAGTTAAAAAGTGATGTTTGTGCTTTCCAACATCTATATCAATGCACCTTTCATGGTTTGTAGCCTTAGCGATCTCACACTAAGATCACATAAAAACTATATTTTCAGGGGTTTTCACTTGAAGATGCAACAGGGCTGGCCATAAAAGGAGATGTGGATGTTCATTCAGTTCATGCAACCTCTCTTCCCACCTCTCATCCAAGTTTCTCCCCACAAAGAGTGTTGGAAATGTCACCAAAATGGAAAGCGTCTCCATTGCCTAAAAGACTAATTCAACTTTTTATTGGGATTTTCTCTGCTACCAATCACTTCGCAGAACGCATGGCAATTAGGAAAACTTGTATGCAGTCTTCGGTCATGAAGTCTTTAAATGTAGTAGTCCGGTTCTTTGTTGCACTGGTAAGGTCATTGAACTTTCTATAGATTTTAAGATCTTGTTAAATACTTGACTGTTATGCATCCTAACTTCAGTTTGTTTCACAAATAACAATGTGATGTTATGGAAAAAGCGTTGGAATGTCTGTTGCCCTGGCCAGTGTGGCTTTTATCTATTCTTTACTGTTTCTGGTTCTTAAGTAATTGTCCTTTACAAGATATTCTTCTCTAGGCATTAATGTTCAGATTGCTTGTATTACTTTTTGTCTCTACTTATTTGTGTAATAAATTGCAGAATCCAAAGAAGGAGGTGAATGCAGTGCTAAAGGAGGCAGCTTATTTTGGTGATATTGTAATTTTGCCATTTATGGACCGCTATGAGCTCGTGGTTCTTAAAACTATTGCACTTTTTTACTTTGGGGTGAGTTCATGGTATTATTTCCTTTCATTTCCTTTCTCTGAAATGCCGTCTGTTCATAGTTTCTGCAATTTATTATTATGTATTTATGTGTTTCTCTGGGTTGAATTTCTGTCAATGGTGATGCTAAATCTCCAAATTTTGTCAATTCAGGTGCAAAATGTGTCAGCTGCTTACATCATGAAATGTGATGATGGCACATTTGTTAGACTCGATACTGTCTTCAAACAAATTGATGGAAAGTGGAAATTGGGCTGTCACTTATGAGGTATGCATATTGTAGTCACACATTTTCGTCCGATATCACATAATGTTTCGTGACGTGTTTATAATATATGATACTCTTATGTTATGTGGTATATACGTATTGTACATTTAAAATATCACTTACATTATAATGTTCACGTTAAATATACGTATAATATAAAGTATCATACATATATATACATTAAATTATTAATAACGTTTGTTTTCTTTACATTTATAGGCCCCAACAAAACATGTGGCCCAACAGCCCGTTTGGCAGACCCAAAGCATTGGTCAACCCTAGCTCTAGTTTCCATCAAGTGCCGTTTCTATCAAGGATTCATTCTCACCCACGTCCGAGTTTCACGGCAACACGCCTCCACCTCCGAACCATCCGGCATTCATCACCAACAAACAAAGGAGGAAGTTAGGATTTGTTTAAACCAAAAATAGCCTTTTTCAAGGCTATAAAACCATGTAATCACCACTGTTTTGTAGGGGGAATATATACGAAATACAAGCTTTTTTTTTTACACCCATACATACGAAATACTCGAGCAGAAGATAGTGAATGCTACGAGCTTTATACGAGATCCACACACAGATTACACAAAAAAATACAAGCAGAAGATACACGAAAAAGGGAAGAAATCCGAGAGAAAACGAAGAGATTCGGGAGAGCATTCGAACCAAGTCAAGGGGAGAGATACAGTTTTGTTTTGAAAGCAACAAGTATCAAGAAAATATATCCAAACTCATTCGAAAAATAAAAAACAAGAGAGAAAGGATTGTAGACAGAAGCACATTACCTCGGTTCTAAGAGGAAATCTCATTTTCAAGGAAAGCCTTTTTGCTCCCTTTCTCGTGCATTGGATCTCCGTTGAGGAACCCATGGGTAGACGAAGATTTATAGCCAAATAACGGTGATCATTTTCTTCTATGAAATTCTTAGTTTCAAATCAGAGAAAAAAAGAGTTTTCAATAAGGAGTGTGAGGTGAGAAGAAGATGCAATTTAGGGTTAATAAAATATGTTTTAAATGCACTGCGGGTGCCATGTTTTGGAATCAAGTAGATTATGCTAATATGGTTTTATAAATACATTTAAAATTATGTTTTAAATATGTTTTGGGGTTTTACGCACAAATTGATCTATTAATGGGGCTCACGTGCTTGACACATGTGTAAGGTAAATGTTTTTGGATTTTAAGGGATTAATCTTTGATGTAATCATTCCATCTTCAATATCATTCAATTTGGTACTTTTATTTATTTATTTTTATTTTATTTTCTTTTGGTTTTTTAATATTTATTTTCTTCACATTTTTTTCAATATTTAACCCTATTTATTATTATTTATTTATTTATTTTATTATTTTTACTCTGTTTTATTTATTTTATTTTCCCCTCATTTATCTTATTACAATTATATATTTTTCCCTTTTTTCATATTTATATTTTTTTATTTTATTTTTACAATCTAACATTTTTTTTATTTTTAGGTTTACTTTCAATCGATCAAAGGTGAACAATTCGAACCGAAATTTTAAATTTTAATTTTAATTTCTAATTTTCGTAATTAAGACAACCGACAAATTAATTGGTACCGAAAGGGCGGTTAAAGGGTGTTAATCATTCCTTGACCGTAATCGACTCCCGAACCCAACACATCATTGGTAAGACGCAGATCAGGTAAGAAATAAGGTATCCGATCAACCCATTTGTCTTAAAATAAATGATCGATGGCGACTCTAACCCCATTATTCAAGTCGAAGCCCAACTCCGGGGTCTAATCGAAAGACGGTTCCGACATTTTGGCGACTCCGCTAGGGACAGGTAAGTGAGTCAATCCGATATTAATTTCTGGTTGTCTTTTTTATGAGAAAATATTAAATTTTAATTTAATTTTTTTATTCGATTCCAATTATTTATCTTTGATTTTTTTTTCAAATAAATAGTTGTACTAACGTTTTTTCAATGATTTCAGATTTTCAAAATTTTCATCTCCGACTCTATACTCGAGCTCCGAACCCTTTTAAGTGGGAGTGAAAGCGACGCCTTCGTGTGAATTTATTCATCGCACAGGCCTAGCAAGTAGCCTTCGGGATTCATATACCATATGTCTTCGTGTAAATTTATTCACCGCACAAACATAAGAGAATGTGTCCTCTCGAGTTTAACTTAGTCCACACAAGCTTGTAATGTGCTAAGGACTAAGGGTCTGGTAAGTCCAAGGGGGCACCAGCAAGGAGAACTCAGGTACCTTTTGGAACCTAAACCGGGAGAGTACAGGGAATTAGAGCCCACCCCAAAACCTCATTCCAAACCTTAGGCTGCTTTGTTTCCTGCTTTACTTTCTGTTCAATGTATGCGAACTAGACAAATATGCGGTTAGGATTTGTTTGAAATTAACATGTGGGATAAAGATCATGTCCGGGTAGGAATTAAAGCAAGTGAGGTAGATATCATGTGAGATATGATTTTTTTTATTTTTTTACTGTTTTGATTTACCTCACTAACTCTTTTTATTTTTTTTATTCTCTTTCATTTTGTTTTCATCATTAGCATTATTTAAAAGAGGTGTTGATCCACTAAAAACATGTTTGGTAAACATGAATAATCTGCATTAATGGACAAAGGGGTTGTAATACAAGAGATGAAAATGCAGAGGATGGTCTACAAGGCGACTATGTGTCACATTCAATCCAGAAGACGTGGTGCCCACGATTAAAGAGTGTATCACTCTGTTGCATTATAAAGGACTCATAATGAATCGGGTCGACATCAAGCACAATTAAAGTCTATCTTTGAAGAACTGACTGAAAGAGGTTGTAGGGGCAAGATGAAGGACTGATCTTGGGAGTCCCTTCAAAGACAACAATGGAAAAATGATAGTTGAAATTGGAGACCCTTTCTGACGAATTCAAGAAACAGGCAAATGAACTTTATATAGTTCTTATCAATTGAGGGTTTTAATGACGTATTCGTTGGGAATAGGTTCAACAAAAGACAAATGTCAGAGATGCAACCATTCGAGACTTCTTGAGCCAATACAAAAAGCAACTCAACATTTGCACGGTTCATCTAGAGAAGCCAGAGCGGTTCGACAGGTTATTCAACCGGTGATAGACGAAGGTAGAAGACTAGTCAATATGTCAGAAGCTTTCAGGATATTTTTGTCTCTTAAAAGATAAAACACTTTTGTCCCCAATAAGGATTATTTATAATAACAGGTATATTTTTGGATCAATGCCTCGAACATTGCATGCATCATGCATTCCTGCATATTTCACATTATTTATCTCTCTTTTTTCTACATTCACATATCTTATAAAAAATGGGAACATTTCGATCATGTTCTCATGGCCTACAAAAGAGCGTCACCAACAACTTTTTGACACCCACGTAGTGTCACCATATCTGGTGGAACCCATAAAGCCCCCATACTCCAAGTGGTATGATGAGAGTGCCCATTGCAAATATCACGACAGTGTCCCGGGGCACACAAATGAGAACTGCAATGCATTCAAGAGAATCGTACAAAAGATACGTAACAAGAATTGGATCGACTTCAACAACTCGGGGGCATCCAAATAAGGAAGAAGATCATTTTATTTCATCATTTGTTGCATCCTGTTTGAATTTATTTTTGAACTTTCTCATATTTTGGGTGTAACTTGTTTTAAATTTTTCTTTTTGAACCTTTAAATAAATTTTTGTTACTTTAAAGACGACGAGCAATGAATCAAATTTGCAGACTTGAAATTCTTTAAATATCAACTTAATTAAAAACTCTGTAAATGATTAGATTTATAGATCTTTGACAAAGTAACACGATTAAAAGTGACAAAACAAGGACTTTACCCCGAAAAGCCCGAACACCATACATTTCCCTTACAAGAACTGATATAGCCTTCTCCTCCCATCAGAGTATAAACAAGAGGCTTGGCATTTAGGTGTGTATAGGTACGGACAACATGAGGCATCTTTTTCATATGACATTATTATACTTTTTGTTTAAGACGTTCAGTGATGATAATGATCTTTACAGATGGAATAGTCGAGTAAGTGAATCTAGTTTAGGTCAGTTGCTTGAAAATTGAACTCTAAAGATGAGATTCCTTGACTTTCAAAAACTATAACATGTTCTTCTTGACAATCTATTCCACTAAGGCAATTAGTTATAGAAGAAACTTGAAAGCCCTAGCCTTATGAATAGATTACGTTCAAACCATGACATTGCTCGAACACTTGGCAATTCGGTGTTTGCTCCACTGCTATTGTTCGGCCGAAGACTTTGTGATGAGATGAACCCTTCAGTTAACTTGATAAAAATGATTAAAATGTTAAGTTATCCCTCTAAAGCAATTGGTTAAACGCCCTAGCTTTATGGATTCAGCTAGCTAGATAACGACAAATTAAATCAAATTTATCTAAGCAAGAAATTTTCAGTAAAAATGGACTAAGGGAGTTAAGGAACATCTGCTATAGTCAATTTCACACGAGCACTCAAAAATTTCATTTTTAGACCGATATTTTTGCACTACCTTTGTTAGAGGAGCTTACAAAACTTGAACAAATGGAAGATTTTAGATAACTGAAATAGAAGGTCTAGTAATTGATAATGCTAGTTGCATCATTTTGTCCGCGTCTAATTAAAATGCCAAGCCAAAGAAAAGCATGTTGCAATAACTGAAAAAATGCTCTTTTCATGGATGAAACCTTAGGTCAACCTGAAGACAACTCATTAATTTGAACATTTTCCAAAAGATATATAACTCTGAAAGCATTAAAAAGAGCTATTGATTCCTTTGATATACTTTGAACTCATGTTTACAGTTTGATTCAATTGCAAGCAATATTTTTATAGCATTTTTATCATTTTCCCTCCTAAAACAAGAAAAAAGAGAAAAATAGTTTCAAACAGGACAATTTCAGATATGAAAGGTTTGTAAAGCCAAAACTTAAAAAGAGAATGGGGCACGATTGATTCCAATGACCAAATTGGCAGACAAAGCACGAGGCTCCATCCAAGAGATAACACATAATTCATTCATGTTGCATGCATCTTATACATACTTAGGTGCCTCACATTCATCATTTTAGCATACATGATTTTTGTAGCTTTTAGAGTCAAGTTTCGACTTCATGACGAAGGATACTCGATTCGAAAGAACCTCTAAAGAGCGATGGTGGTTGCTTAACTCAGCAGTGAGAAGCTACACCTCAACCGACTTAACATATCTACAGATCTCATAATCAGTTTCAGATGGGTTCGAGGACCAATTCAGATCAAATCCAGTTCAGCTGAACTCAACAATGAGCAACATGTTTCCAGTTAATGTCTTCAAGCCAGATTTCAATTCCACAACGGAAGATATCCGGCTCTCAGAATTTATCAGGGCTTTTCCGTAAAAGGGGAATCATCCAAAGATCGTCTCATTTGGTTCAGACTCGCTCAAAGGAACCACCTGAAGAATCATGACTGGCTTAGACCT